AGATCATTTTGCCGTTATCTGTCATTCCCACTTCCCCCTATCTCTGTCCATCTCCTGGCAACCACTAATTCATATTTTATCTCTTTGGATTTGCCTCTTCTGGACATTTCATATAAATGGAATCATACCATATGTGGTCTTTTTGTATCTGGCTTCTTTCATTTAATGTTTTCAAGGTTCATCCGTGGCACAGCATGTATCGATTTTTTTTTAAATTGGTTGTTTAAAACATTACAAAACTCTTGACATATCATATTTCATACATTAGATTCAAGTGGGTTATGAACTCCCATTTTTACCCCAAATACAGATTGCAGAATCACATCGGTTACACATCCACATTTTTACATAATGCCATATTAGTGACTGTTGTATTCTGCTACCTTTCCTATCCTCAACTATCCCCCCTCCCCTCCCCTGTATCGATTTTTTTTTTTTTTTAATGTGGCTTACATTCATGGGCTGCTACAGTTTGGATGTTGAATGCCTCACAAATTTCCATGTGTTAAACATTTGGTCCTCACGGTAGTGCTATTGGGGGGCAGTAAAACCTTTGAGAAGTGGGTGGGGCCTTATGGGATGTCCTTAGCTAATGAGGGGTATGTCTTTGAAGGAGATTGTCAGACCTCACCCATCCTTTCTTTTTTTTTTTTTTTTTTTACTTTCTGGCCGTAAAGTAGAAGTTTTCTCCACCATACACAGCCCCACCATTGCTATGCAGCACTCCCACCAGAAGGGCAAAGCAGCAGGTTTGCCCAATATTGGACTGGAACTTCCAAAACCATGAGCCAAAATAAACCTTTTCTCTAGAAACGCTAATTATCTCAAGTATTTCATTATAGCAACCAGAAACTGACTAACAAACACATGGGCCTATATGGCAAATTGACTCAGCTTTCATAGAAACAAACTCGTTGTTGGCATTCACGTTAAATTAATTTGTGCAATATTTAATTACACTGAAAAATTACAGAAGCAAATACAACTGGCATAAACAAGACTGTGACCAAACAGCACCCTAAGTGCATTCCTGAGCTGTAAAGAGAAAACTATGCAAATTTATTGTGATTGCTATTGCTACAAAGATCTCTGTACTCTGAGCAACAATCAGTATATTTCAGAGGGGACGGGAAACATTGGTCAGACAATGAGTTGTTTGGGTATTGATCAGTGGTCCATTACCCAGGACAGAGGAGGAGGTGTGCAGAAGGGTGCAGAGCGATAAGTATCTACTAGACAACCCAACACAACCTCAATTGGTCCCTAATAAGAAGTCTTCTATCTATCTTCAAAAAGAAGCAAGTGGGGTTGGGGCTGTAGCTCAGTGGTAATGCACTTGCCTAACACATACAAGCCCCTGGGTTCTTCCCCAGCACCACAAAAAAGAAACAGAAGAGGCAAGAATGTGCTCCCATAAAGACAGTTTATTCTTTCACCTCCATGAAAGCTTTACCATGCTACTGTCTTTCAAGAAGCAGCTCAGACATGTTCTCTATAAAATCTTCCCAACCCTCAACTCCCCACAGTGACTACATGCTTTCCCCTGCCTTTTAATATGGAAAGTATTTACCTATCTCTTATGCTAGTTATATCTGCTAGTCATAGAATGTTCTTTTTTCCAAATCAGGCTGAAAGCTTCTTCAGAGGCAGGTTCTGTGTCTGTAAACCCCTTACTGCCACCAGCACAGAAAAAGAGGTGCTCGAAATATGGTAGAAGTATAATAAACTAATAAGTTTATTAAATAACTAATTAAAGAAATGCAACTTTGTACTCGGCTACAGCAACTTATCCCCCTTATCAATACAGAAAAAGACAGCAGGATGAGAATTTGATGGGACAAAGTGGTGGGTGAATGAAGATAAAAATCAATTTCCATGGGTACCCAGCAGCCATCAGAAATTATGACTTAATGTGTTTAACAGAGACCACCTTTAAATAGGGAACTGTTAGTTAATAACACTTTTAGCATCCTTTGATGTAGAGCAAATTTAAAACAGACACAGAGAGAATCTTTGTGTTCAAAATCTCTCAATGCCTTCAACTGTGGATTTGGTTTTTCTCAGTTAAATTACATTACTTTAATGGGTGAATTTTTATATATATTTACAGGGAACTCATAAACTCAATAACTTCTGATTCAATAATTTCTAAAAGCAAAGCAATTGGTTAGGTGAGGAATGCAAAAAAAAAACAAAACAAAACAAAAAAACCCCAAATGCTGCACTGAATGCTGTAGTTGCTGCTTTTTTTTTTTTTTTTTTTTTTTTTGGCTGTATACGATGAAAAGATTGCCAAGTTCATTTTGATAAGCATTTGTTAAAAACAACAAACATGCCTGAGCTTGCAAACCATGCCATTTTGAAGAAAATGCAAATGAGAGAATTAGAGAACATTGAAAACTGGAATGTCTAATGAAACAATCACAGTAACAGATTTACCAATAAGTCAACACTGTGCTGCCTAAGAATTCAGAGACGAGAGGGGACAAAATGTAAAGTGAGACAAAATAAAAATGAAATGCCACCTTCATAAATAAATAAAAAGCCAGCTACATTCTGCAAGCTAATGCAATTATTGTCTCCAACAGTAACATGGTAGCACTCACACTTTTGAGAAAACTAATCTTCCTATGCTTCATTAGTCTTAAAGTCACCAAAATGATGTCCCTAAATAAAGGAAAAAGACTCCAAAGGAACATATTTTAAGTAGCCGAAGGTGAGCACTGCTATTCATATATAGTAGTAAGTCAGTTTGTCAAAGTCAAAGCAACTTCAGTTGAGTTGTTTGTTTTGTTTTTTGTTTTTACTTCCCATGTTTAATCAACAGAATCATGGGATTGGGAGGAAGGCAAATTGGAACATTTGTGTTCATTTCCCTGCTTTAGGCGAAACTGCAATTCTCTTTTATCTGCCTAACAAAATTCTGGAAAAATTCTAATGAATGAATTATAACATGAGCTCCACAGGATCAAAGTTCTTTGTTTTGTTCACTGACACATCCCAAATGTCCAGAAGAGTATTGTGCACATAGTAGGCACTCAATAAATGTTACTTAATTTGAATTAAACTTTAAAATGCGAAAAACATGCAGTGTAATGCAATTCTAAAATACTAGAAAAGTCAGTTTTATTTTTTAATTGATTTTTAAAATGTAGATGGACTCAATATCTTTATTTTATTTTTTTTAATATTTTTATGTGGTGCTGAGGATTGAACCCACATGTGTGAGGCAAGCGCTCTACCACTGAGTTACAGCTCCAGCACCAATTCCTTGAAATTTTAAACCACAACTTCTGTTATAGGTCATGGTATTAATCATAACAAATAAATGGTCCTCCTATAAGCCACTTTTCTCAAGTCAGCTCTAACACCATAAATCATGTCTTTATCTCTAAACAAACATCACCATCCAGAGTACAGAATCAGAAGAAACTCCAAGGACAGATTGGTGTAGACTTTCATCTATTTTGATTACTTTTCTTCCTGTGGGATTCACCTGGGATATTTGCATATTCATCTTCATATAAGAAGAATTGAAAATATTACTTAAAATTAAGGATGCCTATTTTTCTTTCAATTATGCTACAAAGGCAGTTTGACTAAATCAACCTCTCTTATCTATTTCAGAATTCTACCAGATTTTTAAAAAAGATAAATAAAAAGCAAGGAGAGGAAATGATATGATGAGGTGATTCTAGTCATATCATTTTTGTTCAAACGCGTGCAGGCAATATGCCTGGAAAACAGAACTAGGAGGAAACGAGAAGGCCCAGATTCAAGTGCTGGTTTTCCCTCTACCTTAACATGACTTTAGCCTATCCTGGAGATCTGGATCTGAGTTTCCTGGGCTGTGAAAGATGAAGGTTTGATTCTAGTAGATGATGATCTATGAAACCCTTGGTTTCTAAGATCCTGTGATTATAAGTGATCAAGCCAGATCACTAAGTAACTCTTTTCCATCCTTCATTCCTTCAACAGACATAGGTTGGACACCTTAGGAGAGGTAGACACCATTAGCTGTAACCTGCCATGATTTTGGCAGGGAGACAAATTATGCGAGGGGTAGGGAGCGGCTGTCGGATTTTAAAAGCGAGGGAGCTCAGACACCTTGGAAACAAATGTTTCTTCATTTGGCAGGCCTGAAGATCTTCCTGGCTGAGAGGCTGGAGCGCCCAGACATCAGCAAAGAATCAGGTAGGGGAAAGAAACTAAAGACAGACCCTTCAAAATGGAAGGATAGAATGCTGAGCTGTGAGTTCTCATTGCAAAGTATCACCGATTTCCCCCCCCCCCCCCAGATAGGAAGTAACTGGAGAAACTACGTTTAATCCATTGAAAAATTTGAAGGCCGGTGTATTTTTAAGGCACCACAAAAAGTAAATAAACGTTATTATCAGGGCTTGATGGTTAAAAATTGCAGGGAACACAGAATGCAGGAGAAAGCCGTTCTCTTTTGTATCGGGAAGTCTGCATTTGGAAACCGCGGGATATGGAGACCAAAGGCTCTCAGTCCCCAGTCACCTGTCCAGAAATTACGCCAAAGCGCCGCGGGGCACAGACAGAAAGAATGGGCACGTGTCTCGGTCCTAACCCAACAGGCGTTCGGAGCGACCCAAGTTAGGGTCGGAGACTCACGGCGCGCGCTGGGTACTGGGACAGCACAGAAAGAATGGAGCGTCCCGGTCCTCCACCAGCTCCAAACCCATCCCTATCGCCCCGCTGTCCCGCCACCCGGAACCCTGTCTGGAAGGATGCCCGTGTCACCTGAGCCACCTCGCCCTTGGCACAGCCCACTCTGCCGGAAGAGCGAAGAGGGTGAGCGCAGCAGGGAGCTTCCCGGCCAGGGTTCTAGGGATCCGGGCACCAAGTCGCTCCTAAGACCCAGTCTGGGACATCCTGGTGGGGCCAGATTGCAGAGTCCCTCAAACCATGCAGATGGCCCCACTCCCTACCCGATCTCCTGCCGCGCCGCCCGCAGCCCGGTCCCGCTGCGGCCTCACCTCGCGGGGACCGCTGCAGCCTTGGCAGTGGAGCGCCGACATGCCCCTAGGGCGCACCCGCGCGTCCCTGAGTGGTGGCCTCTTCCCTAGCCTCAGGCACCGCGGTCGGCGCTTCCGAGGGGCGGGGAGCCAACAGGGCGGAGGCAGCGGCGGGACTGAAGCCCCGGGCCCTGAGGGCAGCACCGGGGGAGGAGTGCGGCGCGGGGAAAATCCCACTGCTCAGCGCCCAGAACGCACTGCCTGGTTCACACCCGCCAGCTCCGCTGGGAACTGTGCCGGGCGGGCAATAGGGATTTATCACTGGGATCCGCTCTCTGTTCTGGGGCTCCGCCAAGGGTGAGGGGCGTGGGGGAGGAGGGACGCCTCGTGATTATGTAATGCATCAGCTCGAGCTGTGTCCCGAGCCAGCTCGCTCCAGGACTACCCGACTCTCCCTGGAACAACCGTGAGAGCCCCTGACCTAAACAAGCCAAGGGGGCTCAGTATTTTCAAAATGAACTTTTCCCCGAGGGGTCAAAGAGCAAGATCAGGAAAAAGGCACAAGTACTCTTAGGTGTATCTGGTGGTGATCTGGCTCGTGCTAACCATTTCACAGCACAGAAAACTAAAGCGCCGGAGCTTTAGTTAACAGCGTCGAACGGACCTACATTCAACTCTGCTAACAAGCCCATAACTTCGGGCGGTCCATTTATCTGAGCCTCAGTTTGTTCATCTGTACATTCATCTGCACAATAAAGGAAAATAATAGCTCCAACTTCACTTGGTTGCTGAGAGCGAGATGCAGGCGCCCAGTACATAACATGCCCCCAGTAAATGTTGACTTAAAACCTAAAGTAGTCGTTCTAGGAGGTACTCCACATAGGCAGGTTTTAGGCTAACCTTTGTGTAAAACGCTCTTCTTATCAGAAGCAAAGTCTCTGAACTGATAAATTCTGATTCCAACTTATTGGGGTCAGCATTCCCGCTACTCATAGTGATCCACTGACCAACAACACCTGAGAGCTTGTTAAAAATGCAGGCTATCTGGCCCCACCACAAATCTTCTAAATCAGAATCTGCATTTTTAACAAGATTCCCTAGAGGCTCAGATGTACATCGAAGTTTCTAAATAAATTTGACTTTTCTCGAAGAAGGGAAAAAGGAAGTCACTGATACTAGCACTGTTTGCCACTTAGGGTTTTTTGTTTGTTGTTGCTGCACTGGAGATTGAGCTCAGGGCTTGGTTCATGCTAGGCAAGCACTCTGCCACTGAGCCACATCTCCAGCCCCACTTGGGGTATTTTCAGACTAGTGAAGTTCTTTTTCATTTTTCCTTCTGGTCATTTTACCTTTTCCCCTCCCCTCTCTTTCTTGCCCTTTAATTATAAATCTGAATTTAAGTCCTATTTTTCATTTGCAAAAACCTCTAAGCTAAATCTAAGCGTGGACTTAGTGAACATATGTTTAAAATACAAATAAGAAGGAAGGAATACAGCTAGTGAAAGAATTCATTAGCATTGAAAATGAAACTCTAAAGCAGGGCAGACTTGAGCCCTGAACTCTCAGTTGTCAAGGTCTTTAGGTTATAAGCCTCGAATACCTTTGCATTTCATAAAATACTTCTCTCAGTTAAATAATGTAGGACACCGGTTTTGTTTTATTTTAAGGATAGAAGGAAAACTCACTGGTTCCCTTCTCAGTCGCCATTTGCAGGGCCTCAAACAAAGCCCAAAGCAAATATTTTGCTTCTTCCATTAAGTGCTGTGTGGTTGTTATTTTATTCTGAGAGTGTTCAGATTTGTTTTGCCTAACTCTGTCTCTGACAGAGTCTCATCCTTTAAGAGTTTGATAATTGTGTGTGGGGGTGGTGATGATGATGATGGGGAGGAGGAGGAGGAGAAGGACGAGGAGGAAGATAGAGAAGAAGAGCAGAATAGTGAAAAGGAGATAGGCAGAGCCTGATAAAGAAAGTTCACTTCCTATGGGGTCCCCCACATAACAGCTGTCAAAATAGCTGCTGCTATGGATATGGGCAGAGAAAAGGAATCGCCTTTCTCTTAGGTTGGAAGACTGAGGAACTGGGAAGGAGAGAAGAAAGCCCTTAAGCTCACACTCTGGGAGAAAAGTAAAGGTAGAACCCTAGAATCCAACCAGGCAGGAAGAGAGATGCAGTGTCTGTTCTAAATAGCACTGTCCAATAGAGCTTTCTGCAGTGATGGAAATATTTGCATAGTCCAACAGAGCTTTGAAATGTGGCTCTTTACTTTTACATTTTAATTAAATAATTAAATTGTAATTGGGTGAGATTTTTTTTTGGTTTTTATTTGTTTATTGGTTGGTTGGTTGGTTGGTACCAGGGATTGAACCCAAGGTCTTCACCACTAAGCCACATCCTCAGCCCTTTTTAATTTTGAGACAGGTTCTCACTAAGTAGCTCAGGGCCTCCCTAAGTTGCTGAAGCTGGCTTTGAACTTGTAAACCTCCTGCCTCAGCCTCCCAACAGTTAGGATTATAAGCAGGTGCCCCTGCACCAAGCTTTAAATTCAGTTTGTGTGTGTGTGTGTGTGTGTGTATTTTATTTGCTTGTTTTTAATGCTATTTGGCTGCACTAGCCACATTTCAAAGTGCTTCATACCAATGTGTGGCTGGCATCTACTGTACTGGGCAGCCCATAAACCATTTCTGGCCAATGATGCTTACAGGCCAGGATTTTGGTAAAGAGGTAAGCACAGATAAGGAGATTTTCCAAGACCTGGTCATCTGTTCAAAGGCCAACAGTGGAATAATAATTAAATCTGAACCACTGAGCCCTTGTGAGAGTTCACATGAGATAATCCATAGAATGTACTTAATGCAATGCCCTGAACATAGTAAATATGTTAAAGTTATTAAACCATCCTATTACTTAACGGTCTTTCTAAATTAAAAAAAAAAAAGTTGGGGGTGATAAAGATTATTTGCTTGGTCCAACTTTAATTCTTAACCTCTCTAGGTCTTCTGTGTACTTCTCTACAAAAATCTAGTGTTAGGAAAATGTATTGGTAAGTCAGGTTAGCAAGACCCCCTTACGCCATATTTGATCACCCTGGAGATCTGACCAGGTTCCTTATCCTCTATCATCCCCCATGTGATTTCTGATTACTCTGACCTACCTTCAGCAAGAATCCTGTCATGTCACTTTTACCTCAATCTCCTTTATTTGTTTGTTTGTTTGTTTGTTTATTTTTGCATTACAAGAATTGTAATGCAACACAATCTCCTTCATGCATGATGTTTCCTCCAGCCCTTCTCCATCCTCTGACCCTCCCCCTTTCCCTTAGCTGTCAATTTCCATGCTGTATTTGGAGTAGAACCCACACTCTTTTACTGCAGATCCCTCTGCTTGTCAGTGGTCCTGAATTGTCTTCCTTATCATGGTCTAATAAGTGTCACTGAATAATTTTTTTCTTTAGCAGGGGACATGGTACTATAGTCACATCATTATTTTTTAATATTTATTTTTTTAGTTTTAGGTGGACACAATTTTTTTTTAATTTTTATGTGGTGATGAGATTTGAACCCAGTGAGCCACAACCCCAGCTCCACATCATTATTAATTAACCTTTTGCTGATGTGATCAGCTGATCCGGCACCTCAGCTACCATTAATAGCTGTGCTCCATATCCCTCCCTTCCCTTTTCTCCCTAGAATTGAGTGCTACCTGTATTATTCTAGCCTGGAGGCATAGCATATTTGGTCAAATCCCTACCATTTGCAGGCAATAAATAACAAGTGTCTTAACTAAAATCCTATTGTACCACTGGTGCAATTAATTTTCAGATGAGGTTCTGAGAAGCATGCACCTTAGGGTACATCCATTATGGAAGGAATTATTTGCTCTTGTTATTTAGTCAGCAGAAAAAGAGAGAGAAAAAAATAAATAAAAAGAACATTGGCTCCAGATAAGGAGAATTTGGAGTGTTTACATCAGAAGGAAAGCTACCAAAAGGTTGGAGGTTGGGATGGAAGCTTAAGGCTTTTGCCTAAATGGAATTTGAAATTTCATTTTTAAGACTAATAAAGATTTTAAGAATAACTACAAACAGCCTAAGTAAGGTGTAAGTATTTTATTCTGTCAGCTACACAAACTAGGGCAATACATAGACATAGTGAAACTCTTATCTGGATATCAAGAAACATAGATTTCTGAATAACTGTCTTCTTGGACTACTGTTCATCTGACTTCTTTACATCTTGGCCTCTGGACACCTTTCAAATCCACTCTCTTGACTGTTTTCTTTGACTTCCTTTTTTATTACTTATCAGCATTTTCTTAGAAGTCAGCGCCTATTTCTTGACTCTCTTAATTATTATTTGTTGATTTATTTTTGGTAGTGCTGGGATCAAACCCAGAGCCTCATACATGTCAGGCAAGTGCTCTTCCACTGAGCCACATCCGCAGCCCCTGCTCTCCTTTCTGGATACATATCTCAAGTCACCTTCTCATGACTGCTGTCAGCAACACTGCATTTCCAGTTCTGACCTCCCTCTGAACTCCAGTTCTTGTCACCAGACACCCAGTGGATGTTTCCACTTGCATTCTCCCCCCCACCCCCTCAACATCACTTCAAATTTTAAAATGTCAGGAACTGAAGTTATCACAGCATTGTTCTCTTAGCTCCTCAGTAACTCAAGTTTCTCCTTTCCAACCTCACCATCTTGATCTCTGATGCTAAAATTCTCTCATCTGCGATGACTTGAAGTCATGGAATCATTTCAATCCATTTTTCTTCTTCCTAGAATCATGGTATAACTGAAAGATGTTGACTTTACAATCAGAAGACCAAAATAAAAATCTTTCTACCACTTTTTAGCAGTATGAGCCTGGGAAATTTCTTAAGGTCTGACCTTCAGATTTCTCATCTACAAAATGAGGCCATTATTATCATTCCAAAAACATTGATTGAGCAGCAACTTATCCCAACCTCTGTACTAATTAGGTTACTGTCAATCTCTGAACTACTGATACTTTGGACTTGGTGATTCCTTTACTGTGAGGCTGCCCTGTACATTGTAGAACATTCCACAGCATC